TTTTCAAGGAGAGGAGCAAATGGGGGGGGGGGGGAGGGGTTTGTGGTGGGAGAAGGGTGCAACAATGAATGAATGGAATTCCAAAATCTCTGTAGATGTTTATTGAAATGAAAAATAAACAAACTAAATTTAAAAAAAAAGAAGGTGCTGAGGGGCAGGAGTGCTATATCTAACCTGGGGTACAGGTGAGGAGGCTGGGTTCTCAGGACTCTGGCTGGGGAGAAGTCCCCGGGACTAGACAGTGAGGGACCATGGGTCTGCAGCCAGCCCCTTGAATGGACACTATACTTCCTCCACAAACTCGGCAAGGACAGTGACTTTACGGGATCAGTCTGGTTGGGCAGAGGGAGTCTCTGGAAGCCGGAGTGGCAGTGATGAGGATGAGGCAAAGAAGGGACAAGAGAGTGGAGGCCTCCCTGGGAATTGGAGGCAAGGACAGGGGAGGGGTCAGGTATGGAGTTGGAGCAAGTGAGGACACCAGTGAAGACAAGATGCAAGGAGCTTGGAGGGAGCTGGGGAGACACAGGTGGGAGAGTGAATGGCGCTAAACAGGCGGGACTGGGTCTCTTCCACCCAAGGATCTGCTGAAGAGGTTCTAAAAGGTTCTTTCTGGTGCTGATTTGTGGCAGTAAAGAGGTATGGGACAGAAGCCTGGAAGAGTCTGCTGACTTCATGCAATAGAACAGAGTGTTTATGCATGGCTCATTAGAGGATGGTGAAAGAATAGCAGGTGAGCAGACAAGATGGAGTGGAGAGGGTACAGTCAGGGCTGGGCTCTGAGGGCTGCAGGAGTCCTGTGACCCAGGCTGAGCAAAGGGGAGACAAACTATTCCTTCCAGACTGGCAGTCCCAGGACACCACCTTGCTATCAGCAAGCACCCCTGCTGTGGATTCAGAAAGCAGTGGGACATGGGGGAGGGAAAGGAGGTCAGCCTCAGGTCAGACCCTGCCAGTCCCCAAACCTTCCCACCCTCCTCTGGTCTAAAGACTCCAGATTCCAACCTGGTCCTCTCCCTTCCTTCCCTGGGATGCAGCACTGAAGGGTTTCCCTTCACTCACCCACTGGGGCACTACATCTTCAGGGAGGTGACGCGGGGGATGTGGAAGAGCTGTGTCTCCTCAGAGCTGGTGGAGCTGCGGCATCCGCAGAAATAGAGTGAGGCCCCAGCCACAGGCCCTCAGCCCTGGACACAGGGACAAAGCCCAGAGCCCCTATTTTCCTTCTGAAAAGTCCTCCAGAGGACAGGAAGAGGTCCGAGGAGCTATGCTTAGGTGGAAGTAATGCAGCTAGAAGGGCTTGGGACAGACATGTGGGAGAATCTTTGGACCTTGGAGCACCACTCAGCCGGGACCGCCATCTGCCTGGGAGGTGTGCCAACGTGCTGTGGGAGATCCTGTCCGGGACCTTTTCTGCCCAAAGAGTTGACACAGCCTCCTCACCTGAGACGCTTCTGGATGGGTCGGAAGTATTTGGAGGTCTTTACAGCAAAGATGATGCTTGGGATCAAGAGAAAGGTGCACCAGGCCAGGCAGAACCAGAAGGCATTCTGGAACAGAGGCCAGGTTCAGCTCACCTTGTCTAGAAAGGCTCCGTCCCACCCTTTGACCTCCAGCCTTCTCCACTGAGGAGCATGGGAAAGGGACTGGAGGCAGGGCTGGAGGGCAGGGGCCCGGCCTACTCACACCATCTATGCCATGGAGGGCTCAATGCCCACAAGATCGCAACGAGCCAGAGGACACTCACCCAGGGGTCAACCATCATGTCACACAGGGTCACACGCCCATTGTCCACAGCTGCAGAGAGGGGCCGGCAGGTGGCAATACGTTGGGTCACCTGGGGTGTCAATTTGAGGCAGGTAATACAGAGGCGCATAAACTCACTGGCGTGCACCCACTCTCGAGAGAGAGGCTCACTGGGGCACGTGGAGGCCCAGAAACACAGCTGAGTGCTAGGACCCAGTTATGAACTGACTGAGACAGGTGCAGGCAGATACACCTGGATACCGGTACACAGAGTGCAGGGGCTGAAACTCATGACTCAGTTTTCACCCTTCTTATGTGGTGTACTGGATTCTATGCCCAGCACCATGCTTCAAATCACATTCACTGGATAGCGATATGTGTGTGTGTGTGTGTGTGTGTGTGTGTGTGTGTGCAGGCCCAGACAAGTCATGTGAACACCGCATGCACATATACAACTCACATGCCCATGTGCACACACACACATATTCAGGGTTAAAAGCAGAACTCCCTGGAGGCCTGGTGCAGTTCCCAAGCTTTCTGAGGCCCTGAGAATCCAGGACTCCAGGAGGATGTAGAGTCTGAGGGCTCGGTTGGCCTCAGACAAGAGGGGCAAGGAAGGGAAGGGACAAGGTGAGGACAGCATGCCCGAGAGCTGAGGCTCACATTGGACCTCAGAGAAGGGCAGCAGAGGTACCCAGGAGAGCCCAGCCATCAGGATGGGAACCAGGGGTCAGAGGTCAAGTCTCAGAGCCTGCATTATCTCCCACAGCATCCGAGGGGCCTGGAGAAAGCAGAGCTGGCACCCCGGAGCCAGGCGACCATTAGGTGCTCAGAGGACAGCAGGGCCCAAGCCTCACTCACCTCCTCTCTCCCCCAGGCCACATACTGGGAGAAGTAGTCCATCTCCCTGCTCAAGTAACACTCAGTTTCCTGCAGGGAAGAGAGGAGTCCTGGGCCAGGAGGGCAGAATCAGCATGCCCTCAGCCCCTATCCCCACAACGAGGATCTAGAGATACAGGCTGGAAGCTCCGTGGGCCTCTGCCCACAACTGTCCAGCTCCAAGGCTGCTCCTTCCCACTATGTCCACTCACATTCTTCAGGATGTGGCTGGCCCAGGCAGGAAGCTCTGCTTTCAGGTAAGTGGCCTTTTCTAGGATGTCTGATGCCTCAAGCTGGGAGAGAAGAAGGCAACTTCAAGTCAAAGCCAGCTCAGTCAAGAGGCAGTGTCTCATTCGTTCCTGCACTTACTAAGTCAACCACAGCATGCTCGATATTGGCATGAGACTCAGCCTCAGGACACCAAGGCCAGAGGGTGGTCCTCCAGGAGCCGCCTCCCTTCCCCCCCCCCTCGCCATCACCACCCAGTGTGTGTGGAAAGAGCAGATGAGCTGGGCCCTCCGTTTCTGCTTCCTGCTGCTGTCCACGGTGATAGAGACCAGGCCACCTCCTCCCACTGCCTGCTCTCCTCCCTCACAGACACCTGGAGTCTTGGGGCTGAGGACGCCAGGGCCCAGACACTGTGGTTAAGCTTCGCCTACAGGAAGAGATCAGGGATGGTTAGAGAAGGGGAGAGGGAAGAGGGACCTCCTTCCTCTCTTGCTGACCCTCCCCTCTCCTATAAACAAACAACAGACAACAAAGCAAATTCGTTGCCATCCATCATGCATCAGGTTAATGCCCACTCACGCCTTACAAGACTGAATGGAACAGAAGCAGATCACCAGGCTGTTCTTCTGCAGCACTGCCTGATGAGTTGCAACTGCCAACCTTACAGTTAGTCATTCACACTCACTCGCATTGCCATCGAGTCAGAACTGACTCATGGCTGACCCTCCAGTGGTCTTTCCGGGGCTGTAAATCGCACGGGAGGAGACTGCCCATCCTCCTATGGAGCATATGGTGGGTTCAAACTACATGCCTTTGGGCTGGCAGCGCAACTCCTTACCACTAGGTCACTAGGGCTTCTCTTAGGTTAGTAGCTGAGCACAAACTGCGTACCAGCCTAAACTCTCTGAGCCCCAGACTCACCACCAGGATCTGCTGGGGGATGACCTTCTCCTGATAGAGGCTTCTGAGTGCTTGGGCCTCCTCCCTTAGTGAAGAGCTGCCCTGGGAAGAGGAGGGAGGGACAGATCAGAAGGGGCACCCTGCTCAGGACAGACAGGCTTTGTGTCTATGGAGCATACCCCCACACATTGAGGTGATACATAGAGTGCAGGGTTCAGAGGCCAAAAACTGAGGCGGTCCCAGAGCCTGGGTTCAGGGTGTGGAGCTTGAAGACCAAGTTTCAGCCTGGCTTCTGGGAGTCGCTACTTCAGCCATATAGCCTTCTTAGAGGCAAGGATCAAGACACTTCCTCTCCCATACCGTTGGAGAAGCCAGTACTCAGAAAGAGAAATCAAGTTTGGAAAGGTGGAGGGTCAGCAAAAGAGAAGAAGACCCTCACACAGTGACTGCTGTGATAGGCTCCAGTGTGTCAGAGATGGTTAAGGGTGGCACAGGATAGGACAGTGATCAGATCTGCTGTTTGTAGGGTCTCTATGAGTCATACTCAACTCAGCGGCACCTAACAACAATAATAAGCTGCAGCGCCACCTGCTGAGACTGTGGAATGTCCTTTGTGGAATGTGTATTGTTGGGGCTGTGGAGCATCAGTCTAGGAAAAGTCTTGGAAAGAACTTTACAAACTCCAAATATTGATAAATACATACTATTTTCTTCCTTTAATCTCCCTGCAGCAACTGTCATGCTATCTGACTCATCACTTCTTCCTCACAAAACCCTCCCCAGCGCACTCTGCAAGCAGCATGCAACCAGAAGTGCTTTCCCAACTGGGCCAGGCCTGGCTTCCACTCTGTCTCATCCACACAGCCCTTCGAGGTGGGATGTGCCATTTAAAAAAGTGAAACCAGCCAGTTGCCATTGAATCAACCCCAACTCTGGACAACCCCATGAATGTCAGAGCAGGGTTGTGCTCCACAGCATTTCAGGAGTTTTCAGAAACAAGCCAGCAAGTCTTTAGTCCATGGTGCTTCCAGGCGAATCTTCCCATCAACCTTCCAGATAGTGGGTGAGCACATTAGCCAAGCTGCCATGGCATCAGCAGTCATGAAATCAAAAGACAAATTGCATGGGGAAAGTCTGCAGTTAGGGACCTCTCCAAAGTACTGTAGAGCGATGATGTCAGTTTAAAGACCAAGGTGCACCTGATCCAGGCCATGAGATTTTTTAATCACTTGACGTGCATCTGAAAGCCAGACAATCAAGAAGGATGACAGAAGAAAAATCGATGACTTTGAGCTGTGTTGCTGGAGAAGAGTACTGAATACCCCATGAAATTCCAGAAGAACAAACAGATGTGTCTTAGAGAAGGTGCAGCCAGAGGGCTCCTTACAGGCAGGCATGGTGAAGGTTGGTATCACATATTCTGAGCATGTTGCTCGAAGGGGATTTTCCTTGGAGAAGGACATCATGCTTGGAAAGGTAGAGGGTCAGCAAAAGAGAAGGCCTTCAACAAGAGGGACTGACACATCGACTGCAGCAGTGGGCATACATGTATCAGAGACGATGAGGATGGCACAGAATAGACCAGGGTTCAGATCTGTTCACAGGGCCCTTATGGGTCTTACTTGACCCAGTGGCACATAACAATTCTATGTTATAGAGAAGATCTACAGGTGAGGTCCAGAGATGTGGAGTAATTTGCCCCAAGCCACACAGCCACTAAGTGACAGAGCTTGTGTCAGAAGTGATGCTGTAGACCCTCAGAGCAAGTTAGGTTTTAGCCTCAGCCCTCCTCAGTGGGGCCTCAGTCTCCTGCCCTTCACCAATCCATGCACTCTCATCTCCCCTAGTCTGCCTGGCTCCCCTTGCTCTCCTGCCCTCCCTCCCCTGCACTCTCATCCCCACCTCCTAGTCTGCTGGCTCCCCTTGGCTCCTGCCCTCCCCCAGTGGGCTCTCAGGTTCCCCCTTACTTGGGCCTGGGCCAGTTTCTCCAGCTCTTGAGTCAGCTTCTCCATGTCTGTTTTCACTACTGGCTTCTGGATCTGGGGTCAGACAGGAGAGATGAGTGAATGGCTTGGCTGGCAGCCTCCCTGGGCACACCCTGGGCCTCTAGCTCCCAGCACTTCCCAAAGGCTCTGCCTGCTGAGGCTTGTCAGTCTCAGGAGTGGAAACACATTTTCCACCATGATACTTTCCATCATGAGGGGGATGGGGGAATGAGGGTCCCTCTGGTGTAACTCAACAAGGAGGGGAGTGACCTCCCCCAGATTCCTAAGACAGTGGGTTCAGAACCATGAACAGTGGCACATGCTATCGGAGGGGGACAGTGGGAGGCACAATCACTCCTGCCACAATGCAGTGTGTGGTGTGTGCCATACTCCCAGACAGGCTGGGGACACATGGTCCCTGGATACACCCAACAGGAAGAGCTTCAGGGCTGTAGACCAGGCCTCCCAGGATGAGGGTGGAGAAATGGAGGAGAAGTCACAGCCAGGGCAAGGTGAGGCCCCTCTGTCCTGCCCGCATCAAGCTGGGACACCTGAGGAGCACATGGCTGACCTGAGTGAGGAAGTCTGCGTAGTGAATCTTGTCCAGCCCGCTGCTCTGCAGAGTCTCCAGGTCCCGGCGGGCTGCCGGGTGCAGCAGGTCCAGGTCCCGCATGTTCAGCTTGAGAGTCTGCAATTCTTGCTGCAGTTTGGCAGTGTACTGTGGGAGAGAGGATGGGGTAAGGGCCACTCCGCAGGACCACAGCAGATTCCTGGGTGAGGGGTCAGGAGGCCCCCTCTTGGATAACTGCAATCCCCTGTCTCAGACTTCAACTCCAACCAGGCTCTCAGCAGGTCTGCTTCTCTTCTACCCGGAGACACAGCTCTCCTCCATACCAGTCTGGCTTCTGGCATGGACCTGGCATAAACCCTGTTAGAGACCAGCCTTCCTATACCCTGCACCAGATCATCTTATTAATATAAGAATATAAAAAAGGAGCTGGAAGGTTGTGCTGGGGTGGTGCAGACTGAGAGTTAGTGAGCTCTGTAGGTGAGGGGAAACGTGGGTCTACCCATCACATACTTGGGAATGGGGAGCTTTGGGGAACTCCAAGTTGCCTCACTTGGGAGTGGAGAGGAAAGGTAGAGAATTTTACAGACACTGCACAATCCTGTCAGGCAATGCATAAGGAAGACGGGAGAAGACCTGATACCTTGAGCTGTGGTGTTGGAGGAGAGTGCTGAGCATCCCATGGATGGCCAGAAGGATAAACAGATATGTCTTGGAAAAAGTGTGGCCAGAAGGCTACTTGTATGCTAGGAGAGTGGAACGTCACCTCAAATACTTGGGCTTGCTGTTAAAAGGGGCCCGTCCTTGGAAAAGGACATCACACTTGGAAAGGTGGAGGGTCAGCAAAGGAGGAGAAGACCCTCAATGGGAACTGACAGAGTGGCTGTAATGGGCTCGAGGGTGTCAGAGATGGTGAGGATGGCACAGGACAGGGTGAGGCTCAGGTCCCTTGTTCACAGGGCCGAAGCCTCAGCAACACCTCACACAGCATCCTGAGTCAGCCCTCCATGGACATAGTGCTGACTTCTCTTTGTTCTAAAACTCTTCCTAACCAGCATTCTCCCAGTTCTGGAGAAGTCCAGGGGTGAAGAGAAGGTTTATTGAGTCAGGCTGGGTGGGAAGGATTGTACCTCTACTGCCTCTTAGCTCTGTAATTCCAGTGACCTTCTGCGAACATGATTCCCTTCCCAGCCTCCTGACTCCCTGCTAAAGTTCTCACCCTCAGTGGACACACACACACACACACACACACACACACACACACACACACACCCCAAGTCCTCTCATTCACTGTCTCCACCCTCTTCTGTGACAATCTCATCTGTTTTCAGCCTCTCCTGTACACAGTGCACACAGCTTCTTATCCCCTCCAGGTTCTGGCCTGCATGCCCACACACCTTCACTGACCTCTAGCCCTAACTGGCCATAAGGACTTCTTACACTCTAGGAGCTATACCCCCACAGAGACAAGATCAGAAGAAGCAGAGCTGCAAAGGTCCCCCAGAGCCCTGTACAAGTCTCCCTGACCTGGTCCATATCCAGATGCTTCTCCACATCATAGGAACCATTGAGCTCCAGGACACTCCACAGTGCAGCTCCCTCCTTGCACTGCCTGGAGAAGAGCAATGACAGGCAGGAAGCAGGGAGGGATTGTAGGACTGACCACCCTGCCTGCAGGCCCACCTCCATCTCTCCCCATGGACCTCTCCTCCAGTCCATCTCCGGGGCCCCACTCACTGATAGGCCATGAGGATACTGACGTTCTTTTTCAGACCAATGAGGTCAGACAGGTTCATGGATGGGGGCAAATTCCCTGGGGTGTCTACAAACTGAGACAAGCAGAGAGTCACGGGCTAGAGCAAGGTGCCTGGTCTCAGGATGCCCTTGCACCACAGATACCAGGAACATTCCCGAGACAACAGCCCTAACCTGACCTCTAGCTCAAATGACCACTGGCCACAACTCCTCTTCCCACCAATCTCAAGAAGAAGGGGCCAAGTGGCCTTCAGCACAGAGCCTAGGCCAGTGTTCCATCTCACCTGTGGGAGCACAGAGGGAGCTCAAGGCTGGGAGAAGAGAGAGGTCAGGCCTGGGGAAACTTCATCATCCCTGTCCAGCATCATGCCCTACACCCCCTCCCACCCTGTTCTCTCTTAAGCTCTTTCCAGCTGCCTTTGTCTTCACTCCCTTGTCCTTCGTCTCTCCAGCCTCTCAAGCTCCTGATTCCTCCAGTTCCACCCATACCTCCTTCCACCCTAGACCCCCAAATGGGTGGGGACAGCCCACCTTGGAGAGTTCCCCATTCTTCCAGCTCCTGCACACCAGCGTCTGCATATTGCCTCCGATCAGGAAGGTGGCGAAGACTAGAAGAATGAGGGGTGCTGCAAAAAGGAAGCTGAAGCCCACACCCCTGGAGAAAGGAAGAGATAAGGTTGAGAAAAGATTGGAGTGTCCCTTAACTATCTCTCCATTCCCTCCCATAGCCCAGGGTATTGTCAAAGCTGGCCCCATGGCAGAGCCCTTTGGGGAAAGGACCCAAAAAACTCAGCCTTCTGGGAGTAAGAAGAGTTCAGAAACCCGACAGTCCCTATCACAGTCCCACCTTGTCACCTGTGCCAGGTTGGCCCTGGTAGCCTGGAGAAGAGGACAGCTGTTGGGTCAAAGAGCCAGGACTTTCCAGCTCTGGGCCCAGCCACCATAGGGCCTGGCCTCCCACCATGCTGGCCACCTACAGCTCAAGTGTCCTACAGAAGGGCCTTCAAACAAGGTGCCATCGGCCTACAGTACTTCTCTGTAAGCCTGGAACAGCCTCATGCCAGAGTTGAAGGCTTAAAGATAAAACATGGGCGGTTGGAGTTCAGTGCCCATGGTCACCTTGGCCAAACACAAGCAGTGGACAGCCTGCACATTGCTAGACAGCTCGGGCCTGAGGAACCACCTAGTGCAGAAATGAAAAACAGCTCCCACTTCTGACACTATCATCCCCTATTAGTGATGCTCCATGAAAGCTTGGTTAAGAAAGATTGGGAGGCTGTGCTCAGCAGGGAAGATGACCTCGGCCCTTTGACGAGCCCAATCAGCACTGATTCAGGAAAAGAAAAAGAGAAGTCGTTGCTGTCAAGTTGATTTCAAGTCATGGCACCCCAACAAGACAAAGGAGAATTTCCAAAGCCCTGTAGAATTTGCAAGGCTGGCGACCTTTGGGTTAGCAGTCCAATGCTTGTTGTTTTTCTTACGTGCCGTCGAGTTGCATATGACTGATAAAGATCCAATAAACAACAGACCAGAACCTTGATCTATCATGCACCATCCTCATCATCACCAACACACATGAGCTCATTGCCACAACTTGTCAACCCATCGCATTGAGTGTCTTCCTCTCTTTCGCCTACCCTCTGCCTTTCCAAGCATAATGTCCCTGTCCAGAAAATAGCTTCTCCTAGTAGCATGCTCCCCAAACGTTGAGGACTCTCCTTCATAGGGTCGCTATGAGTCGCCTGCGACTCAAAGACACTTAACAACAACACAACAGTAACACGCTCAAAGCATGAGAGACACAACCTAGCCTGATATTTAGTGGTCCTGACTTACCTTTCTTGCTCTAGTTGTTGTCAGGTGCCATCAAGTCAACCAGGACTCATAGCGACCCTGTGAACAACAGATCTGAGCCCTCTCCTATCCTGTGCCATTCTCATCACTCCTGACACACTTGAGCCTATTGCTGCAGTCACTGTGTCAGTCCATCTCATTGAGGGGCTTCCTCTCTTTCACTGATCATCTGCCTTTCCAAGCATGATGTCCCTCTCCAAGGAATAGCCTCTCCTAAAAAGATGACTGAAGCATGTGAGACAAAGCTTTGTCAAGGGCATTCTTCATGTCACCTCTCCTCACTCTAGTATGACCTTTTTATATAGATGAAGACATCAAGGCCCAGATAGATAGCAATTTGCCCATGGCCACCCAGCGGTTTGGTGTATAAGCCATCTACAGCCCAGTCTCTGACTTCCAGGATGCTGTTTCTGTAGCCCGATTCGCAGCTGACAATGAGAGGGACAGAAACCTGGCCAGTCCAGTGTGACGAGACCTTTCCCTCTTACTACCCTTTCTTACATCATGAGGAAGCGGGCTCCAGCCTTGCCCTTGGCCTCTGAGTAGCTGGGGTCCTCCCTGGCTGACAGCCCCCAGATGCCCAGGTTGAGGCCCAGCAGGTTACAGAGCACGATAAGGATGACCATGGAGCACAGCACACAGCCCACGATCCACCTGCACAGAGAGGGTGGGGGTGTCAGTGAGAGGAAAGACAGCTGGGCACAGGGGAGGGGGGCTGGCAACACTCGGAGTGATAGGGGACTGCTTGTGGGAAACCGTAGCTTCAGGGCTGAGCCTTTGAGGATGTAGTTGTGGACACTTTCTGAGCCTCAGTGTTCCTAGGGGGTCCCCAGTCTCAGGCTCCAAAGGCACACAACTAGGTGGGGGCAAAGCCCTGAAAGCTATGGAGGGGTTCCTCAGCTTAACTAGAGGCAGATGCTTAGCTCAACTGGGGAGTACAATTTTAGTCTTGTGAGACTGAAAGACTCAGCTGCCCAACCACTCATCCCATGGGCCCCTAGCCCCATGAGCCTGTCATATCTCCACATCCACCCCATGGGTTTCTAGGCACCTGTACCTCTACACCCACCCATGGGCTTCTAGGCACCTTTACCTCTGCATCCATCCCACAGGCTCCCAGGCACCTGCACCTCTGCCTCTTCTACCCCATGGGTTCCCAGGCACCTGCACCTCTGCATTCATCCCACGGACTCCCAGGCACCTGTAACTCGGCATTCATCCCACAGCCTCCCAGGCACCTGCACCTTTGCCTCTACCCTATGGGCTCCTAGGCACCTGCACTTCTGTATTCATCCCATGGGCTCCCAGGCACCTGCACCTCTGCATCCATCCTACAGGCTCCCAGACACCTGCACCTCTGCATCCACCCACAGGCTCCCAAGTATCTCTGCCTCTACCCCACAGGCTCCTAGACACCTGTATTTCTGTATCCACCCCATGGGCTTCCAGGCCTCTGCATCCACCCCACAGCTCCCAAGCATCTCTGTATCCACCCCATGGCCTCCCAGGCATCTCTGTATCTACCACATGGCCTCCCTTGTACCTACATCTCTCATATCTCTGCATCCACCCCACAGCCTCCCAGGCATCTTTGCATCCACTTCACGGGCTCCCAGGCACCTGTATCTCTCATATCGCTGCACCTCCTGCAGGTAGGGATGGCTACTCTGCTCTGCATCTTCCAGGGCCTGGCTCCAGCGAGAGGTGGCCTCCAAGCCTGGGAAGCCTTCAGCCAGAGTTCTTATTCCCTCGGGTTCCTGAGCCACTTCCTTCTTCAGTTCTGCTCAAAACAATGTAGTTTTATATGGTGGAGAGGGAACTTGAGGGCCCAGGAAGGAAAGTAGCAGGCAGATAGGACCTCTAGGCTCATTTGTGAGGCCCCGTTAAGGACAACATTTGCCTCCTGCACCCTGGAAGACTTATTTCAACAAGCCTGCCTCAGTCAGTGTTCTGAGAGAACCTCAGAAGAAGCCCCTGCTGGACACCCCTCCATTATGGCTGAAGGGTAACCATTATTGGAGGGTAACCTCCATTATGGTGAAGGGGTAACCACTGAGTAGAGTCTCACCATTGATCATGTCGGCCATCTGCATGGCAGCCAGGAGTGGGAGGGAGTTGAAGGTGTTGTTCTCCTGCATCAACCAAGCAGGGAAGTCTGTCAGCTTCCACCCTGCTTCCCCAGTTCTGGAACCACTCAGGATCTCTGTATCCAAATCCACCTGCCTTGCCAGCTGCCTTCACCTCACTTTGTTCCTCCCAGGACCTTTTTCTTCCAGCCAGCTGGCATGGCTGACATACCATTTTCTCCATGCCAGGATCTTTCCAGACCTCAGGCCACAGGTGCTGACTCATAGTGGTCCCAACCCCCATCTCACTGCACCTCCACCCACACAGGGAACCAGCCTCTTCTCCTGTCTCAGCCTGAGTGCACCCCTCCTGCCCCAGACCCTCAACCCTAAGGGCTGTGGCTTTCCCTAACCCACACCTGCACCCTATCGACTGGTGTGCACGCTGAGGGCAGGCACCATGAACCTCCAGCCCAGGTAGCAATTTCTGACTAGGTTCCTATTCTAATGAATGGAAGCTGAGGCCTCTCACTGAAAAGAAAGGTCCTAAGAAGTTGAGAGAAGAGAGAGATAACTGACAGAGGGCAGGGGCATGTACCTCCTGGACCATGCTGGAGAAGTTGGCCTCTGGAACATCCCTCAGTCGATGCAGGACATCATCCACTGTGGGCACCTAAGCGCAACATTATAACAAAGGCCATGGACAGGTCTGAAAGTGACCCCTGAGCGTGGAGTGTGGGGAATGCCTCTGAACCCTGAGCCCTCATGTGAACAATAGACAGCAACGAGAATTCAAGGAGCACATCTGTGTGACAATCACAGATCAGAACGTGGCCTCCAAGGGACTCATGACATGCCACCAGGATGTCCATCATCCCCCTTGAGTGTGGGGGGATGACAGGGTCATTAGAGGAAAGGCAGCTGGGAGTGTCCCTTAGAAAGCATGAGACTATTCAAATGTCTGGGGAGTCTAAGTGGCCCCCTGAGCCAGAGGCTACCATCTGGCACCTGTGTGAAGTCAGCGCCCAGCTGCAGGGCACGGGCCCTGCTCATGGCCCCAGTGCAGCCCTGGCATCCTGGCTCCTGCAGTAGCGACTCAAGGCGCTCCAGGTGTGTCATGACAGCTGGCTCCAGCTGCCTCTGTCCTTCTTGCAGCTCCTGCAAGGTGGCGTTCAGGACTCGAAGGTAGTCCAGGGAGACCTGTAGGGCTGGGAGACACAAGCAGAGTGATCAGGCATCATCACTCCCAACTACTCAGTTCCTCCAGGGACATAGAGCTCCTACCTCTCCCCACCTCCAACCAAAGGGACCTGCAGTCATTAAGACTCCTGCATTAAAAAAAAAAAAGACTCCTGCATAATGAAGGAAATTGCCCCAGGGCAGGTTCAGCCAGGATGGGGCAGGGATGGCTCAGGATGTGGGACCTGGGATCAGGCCATGGAAAGTCATGGGTGGGGCTGGCTGAGGCTGCATCAGGCATTCCAGGCTGGCTGACCAGTGTGGGCTGGTCAGTCCACATCCCACTCTGTCCTGAGGCCCACACCCCCTCCGCCCTGACTGTGCTTACCCTGGCCCACACCAAGCACTAAGGCCAGCACTGGGTACACGGTGCTTCCGAGCTGGGCACAGATGGTTCTCCCGATGCTCATGCCCACCCCTGGGGAACACAGGAAGAGTTTGTGGGGCCTTTCCACCTCTCCCACCCTCCCCAGGCCTGGGGTCAAGCTCCATAGGATGGGCGCTGGCAAGACCGTCCCACGGTAGAGTCCTCTTTCTGCTCTCTGAGGGCGTTCCTGGGGAATCAGGGAGCAGGGGCTTGAGAAGGCCTCCCAAGGCAAGCCTGAGCAAGTTGACGAACCAGCTGTCACCCTCACCATCCAGTTCCTGCAAGATTCGCTCCTGAGGGAGGGACAACTGCTGCGCCACAGCGTGCAGCTCCTAGGCAAACACAGGGGTGAGGTAAGGTGGCCTGCCCGCTCCCCGCCTGAGCCTCGCCCTGACGACTCCACACACACTTCCCCTTAGGTGGCAGTCAAGCGCATGGAGAAGGACCCCATTGCCAATTGGCACGGAGGCAGCCCGAGACCATGCTGCTGTCCTGGCTGGGCCTGGCGCTCAGAGTGGTGAACTGGGAGAGGAGGTCATCCAGGGCTCACCTGGGGGACGTCAGAGACCAGGCCCCGGAGGCTGAGCAGGGTCTCAGTCACAGCCTCAACGCTGGGGGGTGTGGCTTCGTGCACACGTTGGTTGGTGGCAAAGGCGCAGACCACGCCAATCCTGCAGAGACACCCAGGAGAAGGGCGCTAGAGCTGTGCTGTGTGCACTGGGAGCCAGGCCCGCCCGCCCGCCGGTCCCGGGCAGCCCCTCACAGCAGCACGAGAGTGGTCAGTAGCAGGCAGGCCATGAGGGTGCCTCGCTCACAGGCCATGGCCTTGTGCTCCGTCTTCACGCGGCCGCCGCAGCGTCTGCGACAACAACAGCAGAAGCAGAGTCCGGTGGCTGGCACCGCCAGGAGGTAGAGGGCTGCGATCACCGCACACACCACGTAGCCTGCCTCATACAGCAACATCTGGGCAGAGTGCAGAGGATAAGGGGCAGTCCCCCCATCACCGCCCCCCCCACCAGCTCCTGTCCCTCCTAGTCCAGGACACCGGAAAGGGGAAGTACAGATGGGCCACATGCTCTGCACGCACGGGCCAAGCTCTCACAAAAGATGATGAATAAATGGAAAACCTAAGTTTCTGTAAACTTTCATTAAAATTAATTTTTTTTTTCAATAAAAGAGATGAATAGGGAGGAAACTGAAGGTTGGGGAGATTTGGGGTTCCTTGCAAACCCCACTGCAATCTGAACGCAGGTATGCCATTCACAATACCAACAGAAGAGAGGAAAGATACTGGTCAAAGGCTCCTTCCCCATCTCTGCCAGACATCCAGCCAGGTAGGCAGCACTGGCTGGCCTGATCCATCCAGCCTCTCCTTCCCTCCCCTCAAGCTCACCCTAACCTCCCTTCCCAGCACCTCCCTCCAAGCCTCACCTCATCCACCTTCCAGGCAGCGGACTTGTTCAGCAGAGCCTTTACTAGTTCTGTTGTAAAGAAACAAGCTGGGGTTTGTGGGAAGAAACTTCCCTGTTTCTGTGCCCCATATGTGTACCACTGCCTGGCCACAGTGGGGCCTGGGGAGGGCTCCTCCTCTCAGGACACCCTCACAGACAGAACCTAGGGTCATATGACTCTGTCCTCCTGCCACAGGGCTGGTTCCACAGGAACCGGATCTGACAAGTAGCAGGGAAGCTACCAGCTTCTGTGAAAGCAAAAAGAGGGCCTGACCACACTACCTTTCCCCTTCATTGGGCAAAGGATGGGGCTGGGAGTATCCTGCAGCCCCCTGGTCCCCCTGAGCCTCAGCATCATGAGAGGCAGTGAATGCCTTACCAGGTCTTTAGGACCCTCTAACGCAACCTCCTCCACAAAAGAGACAGAAAAATTGAGGCCCCAGGATAAAGGCATTTGCTCAAGGTCACCAGCAAGGCCTTGTGGCTGCCCCTGCACACAGGATCTCAGGAAGCAAGACAGGAGGAGGGACCTGAATTCTAGTTCTGTCCTCCAGGTGTCTGCTGACAAGGTGAGGGGGGAAAGGAAGGTTGTCCAGGGACCCAACACTTCCCCAGACCCATGATGAAGGAGGAGGGAAGGAGGAAGGCACACTCACCAGCCGGAAAGGCGTTGAACTGCACCAAGGACAGAAAGCTGTGCACAGTGCCATACAGCAAGTCCAGCGGCCCCTGAGCACGCACTCGAGGCTCCAGCCACCAGGTCCTGGCTACGGGCGTGAACGTCAGGCGTTCCACCGGGCCAAGGGATCTGCAGTCCATGGCCACAGGCTCGGGCTGAGACAGGGCCAGCCCCAGGCTCAGACCCAGGAGGGCCACTGGGAGACCCCAAGAGTGCATTATGAGGTGGGCTAGTGGGCAGAGGGGCGGGTGGGAGAGGACTCAGGCAAAGGGTGCCGGAGCACCAGGCAGGACATGCATCCTTCACCAGCCTTCCTCCCTAGGTCCCTCACTCTCAAAACCGGCCAGACAGGTTTGGGCTCTGGAACTACTTGGGTGCCAGCCCCCAGCGCAGGAAGGACGGAGGCGGAGGACAGGAGTAGGTGGGCCGGGCCTGTCCTGGGCTGGCCCCTCAGGCCTGGGATGGGAGCTGCCTCCAGTCCTCTGCTCTGGATCCTCCAATGGAGGGGGGCGGATAGGAAATACATCACAGTGGCTCTGGATTATTTCAACTCAACTCATCGTTGTCCAGTTGAAACCAATCCACAGCTGACCCTCCATTTTGCTTCCAAAGCTGTAAATCCTGTGGAAGGAGAGTGTCCATCTGTCTTGCACCAAGATGCTGCTGGATCCGAACTCCAGAGAGGCACTGCCTTTGGTTTAGCAGCAAAAGGACTTCTGGATCAGGCTACCCATGCTCTGAATTGTTTAGGCTGGCTTCGGTTTAAAAAATTGTATTCCATGCCAAGACCCAAGACTTTGGGTCTTCTAAAGCTTTTAGCCATGGTTCACAGCACCAGAGGAAAGTCGTTTGCACTAAGGTTCCCTCACTGCCTGCTCCTTGGCCAGTTTGGACCACAGACAGAATGCCAGCCTTCTTCCAAGAGCCTTTTGGAAGGGGCTCCTGGAGCCTCTCTCTCACACAACCACTGAAGGACAATCTTTAGAGAGATTGAATCCAGCATAAGCATGCCTTTGGCCCCCCAATTCTCCATCTAAGTCATTGCCTGTGAGAAAGGAGCAAAGGTCAACCCAGAGACATGTCCGCACAAGCCCCTGCCTGTTTGTAAACCATCGTGTGTCCTATGCCTGGAAAGATATCTACAGATGAGCAGGTCTCCAGGAAATAGCACTGAATGGATGGAGGATGTTTCTGGAAGCATTATTCATGAGCCCTGGTGGTCAGCCCTGAGAAAGAGCTGATGAAGTGAGTATCTTATCCAGCACGTTGGGGAGTTATTAACAAATGGTGCTTTTGATCTGAAAGATATTCACACTGTATTAGTAAATGCAAGGACCTGAATACAAAGCAGTCAGTACATTGAGTGGAGGCATGAAACAGTACCCATCTCTTCATGGAATCAGAAACGATTTGTAGCTTTCTTCATGTTCACCTGAGCTTCTGTGCATTAAACATGTTGCTCATGTTTAAAGAAGCAGTGAAAGCTTGTGAGAGTTCCCATAGCAGCTCCTCTGCCACACCCAGTCACTGGAAGCCCCCAGGGAGGAAGACCCAGAGTCTGTTGTCTCTGGGACTTCCATGTTCAGGACAATAGTTCAACAATGTTTTGAGGAGCACATGGAGTACATGGAGTCTTGGCTGCTCATGATGGGGTCAAGAGTCCAGAAGGGACTTAAGTTTGAGTCAAAGCTGGGCCCACAGCAGGATTCAGACCCTCCCCATTGCTGCCCTTGCACTTTTCTCAAAGCTTGGGGACAAGAGATCACAGTCAGTGAGGACTGACCCTTTAATAGTAGGGTTCCAACAGGAAATGGGAATGCACCAAAGGGGGACTCAGAGATGAGGATCAGTGTACAGGAAGCAGTGGCCTGGGGGTGCCATGGCATTCCAGGTGCGCCATGGCATTCCAGGTGCAGGGGAGCCCCAGTGGTGCCCCAGAGAGACACACGCCTGTGTGGAGGGAGGGCCTGACCACTGTGCTGTGCTCACCACAGCCCAAGCCCACACCCTCCCCGCCAGCTTCCCTGGCCCCCTGCAGGCTGTGCTCAGGAACTGCAGTCCCAGGGTCTCCCTGGGCCCTGTCCACTCCTCTTCTCTCCCTCCTCATCCAGAGCCAGAAATTAAGAGTCACTGGTGACAACTTTCTAGCTTTAGTCCCATCTTTATTCACCAGCCAAGCTAGACATGCTGCTATCAGATCACCTTCAGCCTAGGGTGATGACATTGATGACATGTGTCACTGAACAGAGCGGCTCGACAGCGTGTCTCCCCCCCCCCCCCTTTACAAAGGCAGGTCACCATGCCTTCTTTTTGTGACATTGCTGGGTGGATTCCATTTCTAACTATCAAGTCAGTTAATTTCAAACTTTATAAATCGATCACCTCCCAAAGACATTCTTATTCAACAGCACAAGGCAACTTGCCATCCTCCAGCTTGAAGTAACCCGGCTGTAGGGCAATTAACCAGTTGCCATCCACATGACCCCAGCACCTGGTAACTCAAGGGCATCAAAGCACAACTGTACTTCATAGGGTTTTCAGTGACTGGTTTTTCAGATCACCAGGCCTTTTTGCCAAGGTGCCTCTGTGTGAATTTGAACTCCCAACCTTTCTTTCAGCTTGTTGTTATTGTTGTTGTTAAGTGTCATTGAGTCAACTGGAACTCACAGCACAGTTCTGCAAACAAAGTCTTTAAACCTTGCACTATCCTGCACCATCCTCATCATCTCTGCCACACTTGTTAGAATAACTGTATTAGACCATCTCGTACAGGGTCTTCCTCTCTTTCACTGATCCTCCACCTTTCCAAGTATAATGTCCATTTCCAAATATTGGTCCCTGCTAACATGCCCAAAACACAAAAGAGGAAGTTTCACCATCCTTGCCTCCAAGGAGCACCCTGGTTGCACTTTCTACAAGACAGACTAGTTTGTTGTTCTGACAGTCGATGTCAAAATAGAGCTCTTCTCTAACACTACAGTTGAAAGGCATCAATTCTTCTCCTGTCATCTTTATTCATGGTCCAGCTTTCAGATGCATAAGTAATTGAAGCCTAGTGGCAAGAAGCTGCACTGCAATCCCAGAGGTGAAAGGTTTAAATCCACCAGATGCTCTGCTGGAGAAGGAGGGACAATCTTCTCCTGTAGCAGTCAGATCCAATTTGATGGTACACACACAGAAGAAATAAAAAGAGGAGGAGGAGAAGAAAGTGGAAGAGGAGGAGGAGGAGGACCATGGCTTGACTCAAGCACTAAGCTCCTTTATCTGTTTGCACCACACAGTGGCTCCATGGTGTGAATAATAAGCAGCATTTAGGCATCTGTGTTTTTCACGTAGGTGCACTGATGGTAGAGATGTTTCAACCCATAGCTTCCTCACTGAGTAGGTCTACCAGCACCTGGAGCCATTGTGAATAAACAACCCACTCAGGTCCTCTGGCTCCTGCTCCTAATTTTTCCACTCTTCTCAACTATTGTAACTAAGTAAATAAATTGTTATTGCTATTATTTTCCTAAGTGTCAGTAACACAACACTACTTTGTGTTTTGTTGGAATTTTTAAATTTTATTTTGAGGCATTAGTTAGGTAGTGCTGCCATTACAGAAGATCACAAGTGAGTGATTTTAGTGAACAAAAGTGTATTTTCTCACAGTTTAAGAAGCTTCAAGTTCAAAACCAGAGCCTGGCTGTGGGGGAGGCCTCTGCCTGCCCCTCACCCTGCGGAAGGCCGCTGGCTCTTCTCAGCTTCTATTCCTGGGCTTCTTGGCAGTCACACATGTAGATCTTCTGTCTCATTTTGTGTGTGCTTGCTTGTTTAACTGCATGCTACACATATACCACCTCATTCATGTAATGTAAAAACCTTTCCCAGATAGGGCCGTAACCACAGGGAGACAGTGGACCACTGCCTTGAGTGTGGTCCAGCTTACAGTGTCTCGATGAGGTTTTCAAGGCTGTAAAGATTATAGAAGCAGCATGCGACATCTTTTGCTCACAAAGTGGTTGCTGGATTTGAACCTCCAACTTTTTGTTAGCAGCTAAGAGTATAACCACTGTACCATCTGAGATCCTTAACTGAAGACATACAAGCTCAAAAAAAAGTTTTGGGGTAGATACAATTTAATTCATAACAGCAGAATTTCCCCAGGAAATTCTGAGGTAGAGAAATTGAAGCACAGACAGAGAAGGGGCCTTCCTTGAGCCAGCAGTCACACCGCGAGCCAGGTCCCCTCCTCCCAGGCAGGATACCTCATGGAACAACCCAAATTCAGCCCCAGCCTTCTCCCCAACCCAGGTCTCAGAGAGCAGGTGGGACTCAGCAGTGCTGAGAGTTGAAGCTGCTGCTGAACACAACTCCTCAGAGGGGTCCATGGAACTGGCTGTGTGCAGGCTGCTCAGAACGGGGGCATGTCAGGGGCAACCTTAAATGGCAGAGGCTGACTGGCAACAGGCTTCTACAAGAAGGTGGTCAGTGCGTTGTGTCATATAGCCCTTCAGTTCATAGCCTTCCATTTTGTGATTCTAGCCTTTCAATCAAGGATGAAATATTCATTGTATGAAATTCGCAAAGCTCATTCACAGTCAGAACTGACAGATAGCTGACCATCCAGCAGGTTGTCAGAAGCTGCAAATTGCTTGGGAGGGGATTGCTCATTTTTCAAGGAGTAGCTGGTGGATTCAAACTACATGCCTTTGGGTTGGCAGTGAAACTCTTATCCAACGACTCTTACTAACTACTATTGTTGTTAGGTGCCATTAAGATGATTATGACTCAAAGGAACCCTATGAACAACAGCTCTGAACCCTGTCCTGTCCTGTGCTGTCCTCATCATCTCTGTCATAGTAGAGCCCATTGTTTCAGTCCCTGTGGCAATTTGTCTCATCGAGGGTCTTCCTCTCTTATGCTGACCATCCACTCTTCCAAGCATGATGTCTAAGGAATGGCCCATTTAACAAGTGTTTAAGTTCCCTACTTGTTGTATTAAGGAGAAAGGGTTAGTGTAAGATACAAGCCCCACCCTACTAGCCAGGTTACCTACTTGAGTCATCACCCTAAGTTCTCAGGGTGGCTAGACTGTGCTGAGATCCACAGCACTGCTCAGGGAAGCTTGTCCACTTGGGACACTGCATCTACTCTGATCCAGAGGTGCTGAGAGCCCCACCAGCTCAGCCTGCAGGCTCCTGGCCCGTCGTCTAC